CACTTGCTACAACAACCGTACCATCCACAACTAAAACTCTACCTACTACAACTGCCCAAACCACAACTACAACTCCACCAAGTACAACAACCCTCCAAACCACAACTACAGCTAAAACCACACCAGTCACAACCACAACTATAACAGTTCCACTTACTACAACAACCTTACCATCCACAACTACAACTCTACCTACAACAACAACAACTACCCAAACCACAGCTACAACCTCCCCAACCACAACTGTACAAATTCCATACACAACAACTAAAACAGCAATAACAATTCCACCTAGCAAACGGGACCACATCAGTCCAGTTCTGACCTCCTGCACTGGCTTCCGGTCTATCGTTCACACTTTAAACTCCTCGTCTTTGTTTACAATTTCTTCCAGGGTGGTGCTCCCCCCTATCTAGCCACACTCCTGAACAGACATTCCCCATCATGCGCTCCTCTGACCAAGGCCTGCTTGCTGTCCCTCGTTCTAGTTGTCGAACTCACGGGGACCGGGCTTTCTCAGTCCTAGCACCATCACTCTGGAACCAGTTGCCACCCTCAGTTAGGCTGTCCCCATCTCTGCCAGTCTTTAAGAGTCACCTAAAAACCCACCTCCTCCTCTTGGCGTTCTCTGAACGTGTTTGAATTTGGCCCTCTTTTATGTTGATTTTATTTCCCTGTTTTCATTGGTCTCTTTATCCCTTGTTTTACCCATTTCTCTTCTACTTTAATGTTTTACCTTTTTTGCACTATTTGAATTGCTTTTATTTCCGATTTATTCATCATGTTTCACATTTCTCATGTACCATGTTCAGCATCTTGGGCTTCCCGACAAGCTTTGATTGATTGATTGATTGACTGACCTACTACCCCAGCAATTAACGTAACAAGTCCAATTGCAACTAGAAAAATTGCATTTGTTGCACAAATGCTGTTTGAATGCTGGATAGCTGAAACTGTAAGCTGAAGCCACCGAACAGCTGAACTGAAGCTGAAACAAAGCAGAACTGTCAAAATGAGCTGAATGTATTTAAAGATTTAGAAGCAAAAATCACCAACAAGTGTAGTGAAGCTCAGAATATACCCTAACCCTAACCCTAAACAGCAGACAATTTTAATCTTTGAACATTTATTAACAACTCGAAATTTGAAATGTTAAACAGCTGGCATTTGGATGAGAATAGTTTAACGGGTACATTTTTACAATTGGCTGGACTGTGAATTTAGAAATATTTGCTGATATCTGAAACTGATAGATTAACATATGTTCAGATTTGATATGGGATGGATGAAGGGTTGGATGAATGAAATAACGGATGGATTGTTGGATGGATGTTAGATGGTTTATTGGACGGATGGATGGATAGATAGATAGAAACATGTATGGATTTATATGTAGATGGATGGATTCCTTAGGCCAAGCCGATCAAGTTGATGTCTCACATGCGTGGGTGTGTAATTCCATCTAGCCAGAAGATGATTGACCTCTCTCAACCAATAAGGGAGCTGGGAGGGAGCGGGGCACTTTCCCACCTTCTGACGGTCAATCAAATTGAACTTATTTCTAGTTTTAAGTACAAACAGTTCAAAAACAGGAGTCTGTTAATGGCTCAATATTCTGCTTTTTATATTCATTCCTATGGGACTTGGTTAAAGTGATTTGTAGTTCCTTGTGTTGCCATGGTAACAGATGACAGAAGTCTGCATTAATAAAGCTATGTACAATAACACATGACTCATTTAAACTTTAAATAACATTTCTATATTAAAGTATGTTGATACAGTTGTGTCTAAAATGTTGTTAAATGTTGTTGCTAAGCACGTTGCCATGGTAACGCAGAGTACAATATCAAGTTAATACAAGACTCCTGGGACCAAGCAGGTTGAATTGATGTACCATACGTGTGGGTGCACATTTCCTTTTAGGCAGAAGACGATTGAAAACTCTCAGCCAATGAGAGAGCAACAAAGGAGGAGGGGGCGGTTCCTGCCTTCTGACTAGTGTTAAAATGTCAGCTATGCTGCTAGTTTTAAGTGTATAGAGTTTTAAGTGTATAGAGCTGGTTGGTTGGTTGGATGGATGGTTGTTTGGTGTGTTGGTTGGTTGGATGGAGGGATTACTTAGGCCTAGCCGATCGATTTAATGTCTCACATGTGTGGGTGTGTAATTCCATTTAGCCAGAAGATGATTGACCTCTCTCAACCAATCAGGGGGCTGGGTGGGAGCGGGGCACTTTCCCACCTTCTGACGGTCAATCAAATTGAACTTGTTTCTACACACAGAAAAAACAACACAATAACACAGTATGTGCAAGCGCTTCACCATAAATTCTCTTTAATTCTCTTGTATGATATTTAGTGTGTGTGTGTGTGTGGGGGGGGGGGGTCATTTTGCCTTGGCCCCCAAAATGTCTTTAAACGGCCCTGGGTGTGTGACTGAGTTTTTAAGGTGATCTGAATTGTATCAAATGTATAAATATTACATGTGTGTAACTTATTGTTTTACAGGTAGAAACACGTAGTGGAGATAAATCTACCTACATTTTACTTTTCAACACTATGTTTTGTCTTCTTGTTTTTATTGAACTATTTTCCTGTCCTGTGTCTCTCATCTTCCTGCATCTCCTCTAAACTCTCCAGAAAATCTGCTGCCTGGATTCTTACTTTTTCACCTCATCAGTTACTTTTGAGCAGATCAAAGGGATCTCCTGACCGCAAAGCAGAGTGCGCGATTCGATGCTGCGTCAGTGAGGTGAAATCTCCGCAGTGCAAGTGATGAGCTCCGCAGTAGCAGAGCGCTTAAGGCACAAATAAGACAGAAAGTAGAGAACATGTGCGGACATGAACGATCGTGTGTTGTAGCTTTTTGGTTGCGCCACTTTGAGAATGGACTGTGCGCTGGACGCAGCAGCCTGGAGCGCTGCGCAACAACGATCATCGCTGTGCAGCTGTCTGTGCTCTCTGCTCAAAAGAGTCCATAAATGATGTAATATAGGTAGAAAACTTTTTTCCGGCAACCCTGGATGTGTAGGATATACAGCTCCGCCATAATTCGATCCCTGCTCCTAGATGAAAAGCCAGACATCTTCATCAATACAAGAACCCGCAGTCCAGACGTCCCGGACAGAGTGTAAAGTGGACACGGTCCATCTCCTTTCCTTTTTGTATTCTTTTCTCTCTGTAAACATGCTGTTAACTTGCTTTGCACATTTTCTAATTGAAATCTGTCTTTATC